TAAGCATATTCTCAAAAATTCCTATGAGTCTATCTCGCTTCCGCTGATATGTTACATACATATGCACCTAGACATAGTTACCTATACCACAGTTAGTTAGTGAAGGGTATAGCAATTGTATTTCATACCAGTTTTTATACAATTTTATTTTCTCAAATATATTTGCTTCAATTCTGTGTAGAGCCCATCAACGACGACTTAAACCCACTATAAACTGATGTCCATAGATGTCATTAATTTAAACGACCTGTTTCACCTAAAAGTTAATCCTTTATTTATTGATAGCCATTAAAGCGACCAAAACAATTTTAACTGTTTTACATTAAAATTCCGGTTGCTTTTTTTTGGTCATACTCAGCGTATTGCGTTCTATCGTTATCGTATTTTTTGGGGGTATAATGTCACTCGTTCGCATATAATGTTCATTTTGTTTGTTGTTGCCATTCTACGTACCTTTACGATTTAGCTTTCAATTTTTTTTTTTTTTTTTTTCTTCTCCACTTTTTCTGATGTTGCTTTAAATGTGTTTGTTGTTGTTGTTTCTGTTACGATTGCTATTAATTTCGAATTTATGCTATTAACTTTGAACTTTGCCACAAGCTGTTATAATTTTGCCGTTCGCTGGTAACTGCAATACAATAGCTTCTTCATCGTATTCCGGTTGTTTCGGTTGAAATTCATTCGGGTTGTCTTAACAGCGGAAATGTGCGACGACATGCGAAATGAAAAGAGTAACATTATAGCTGTACTTTTCGAAGCGGAAAACTGTCATTTCGAAAGGTAATGTCATCGATTTTTATTCCTTTTATAGACAACAAATGGGAAATGAAGAAAGGAGCAAAAAGAAGAAGAACGGAAAATACGCTAAGTGACAAAACGTTATAGTCCACCAAAAATATATAGTAAAGGTTGCACATTTACTTTTGCCAATAAGTTTTGTATATCAAAACCACAGTTATTTATTAAGTGGACAATCGCCAACGTTTTTAAGTTTATATATTGGATCATCGATATTAGTATTGACGGGCTTGCTCCGCATACGTTGTAATATTGTATAAACATATCCTCCAGAAACAGGTGGAGTGGTCAATTTTAGATATATGTAGAACATCGCGCAGTTAGGGGCCAATCGTCAGGAAACTTTGCATTTAATTTCGCATTTGTGAAAAAATGCATATATTTTTACAGGTAGATTGAGTGGGCATCATAATATATTTTGGTTGAGTCCAAATATTTCTCTTCACTGGCCGAGTACAAATTTACCGCTTTTCAGGGCCTTATAGCTAATGAGGGTATATACCCTCTGATGCGGCAAAGATTTGCCTCATCGAAATATTGATTTTAAACACATGTTTCTTTGGACCAAATCGGTTTCTGACAATTTGGACTCAATTTACAAATGTTCGTCCGTCAGTCTGGTGCGCACGATAACTCTCGAAGGAAGTAACCGATTTAAACCAAACTTTGGACATGGTAATATTTCTTCCAAACTTAGTTCAAGTTCGAAAATGGCAAATATCGGTCCACTCTTTCTGGTACCTCTCCCACAAAATGGTCATAATTGTGCAAAAAATTAATTTTATAGTTTCATGCGAACGGACTATCCAATTTGAGGATATATATCTGTCGACAGCACTGATATATGGGATATATCAATCAGGGCAGTGCCATATGACGATATTTTCACATTTTCAGTATTTTGGAGGTTTTGTAAATCTAATTTTGGAGAGCCTACAAATCTCCTAGTTGGTCTTAGGCAGCGAAATTTTCCGGAATAGGAGAGATGTTATTGAAAATTCCTATTGGGATTGAAAGTTCTTGGTGAGAATATATATTCAAAAAGGAAAAATTCGCCATAGGTCCAACTTAGTAGGTCATTGATAAAGTGTAGGGTAGATGTACCAAAGGGTTCTTGGAAATTCGAACTATAAGTATACGAAAAGTAATAAAATGTATTAAATTGGGAACAATTTCATAGTATGTGAACGGATAGAGCTAAAAATTTGGAATGCGAATCAAGGTTGAGAAGTGAGGTCGATATAAAGAGTTGATTTTGGAAGTGTGTACTCATTTATAAAAGTACTAAATATAGTACAATTTGAATTTGGAGAAACGGATGGAAATTTGAATTTATAATAACGTCGAAGTGTAGGAATAGAATATGTATAAAAAAGTACTAAATCGTACAATAATTGGTACAATTTTGATTTGGGTAAAACGATAGAGCTGGAACACTGAAATTTGGAAATATTGTTACTTTTGGATTGTAGGATTCGGGTATAGATGTAGTTTTATAAATTCATACTTATGGGTACTAAATTGGGTACAATTTCCATTTTTGGTGGACCGATAGAAGTGAGATCCTGAAATTTGGAGCTAGGATCATTTCCAGGTTAGGATTTGGGGTTTTTGTAGCAAGTTTTGGAAATTCGTACTATTGTGTACCAAATTTGGATTTGGGTGAACCGATAGAGCTGGAACCCTGAATTTCGGAAATGGGGTAACTGTAGGAGTGTAGGATTGGGGCATGTATGTAGTTTTGGAAATTCATACTTATGGGTACTAAATTTGGTACCATTTAAATTTTGAGTGAACCCATAGAGCTGGAATCTTGAAATTTAGAGTTAGGATCACTGTTGAGGTGTAGAATTGGGCTATGTATGAAGTTTTGGAAATTCATAACAATGTGTACTAAATTTGATACAATTTAAATTTTGGGTGAACCGATGTAGCTAGAATCCTGAAATTTGGAGTTAGGATCACTGCTGGTGTGTAGGATAGAGCTATAATTTTGTAATTTAAAGTTGGGTTCACTATTGGAGAAGAGAATTGCTGCTAAATTTGGTACATTTAAAATTTTGGGTGAACCGATAGATGGGGTGTAGAATTGGGATATGTAGGAAGTTTTGAAAATGCATACCAATGTGTTTTAAATTGCTATAGAGCTCCAATGATGAAATTTGGAATTAGTTTTGGAAATAAGTACTTCAAGAGTACGAAAAGTAATAAATGGTATAAAAATTATTATAGAGCTAGATTGCTGTTGCTGTAGTTTTGGTAATACGTAGGGGAGACTGGGGCACCTTCGGCACTTTTTGTTTAGAGCTCTATATCTCAGTACTTATTCAACATATATAAAAACTTTACGGCTGATTATTGTCCTCTGAAACTTAATTATAAAAACAAGTACCAAAAAGATATAATACATTAGTATTAGTTAAACATTTTTACAGTTTTGTAAAAAAATCAAAATCGCCGAATGTGCCCCTACCCGGGGTATCTTCGGCATTTGATGGGTCACATTCGGCAACATAGTCATAGACTGGTAATTACCACCGCTATTAATGTGGTTGAAATTCAGATCCTCTAAATGTTCCATTTAGTTTTAATTTACGACTCAAAGTTTGACTTTTAAGGCTATATTTTCTTGCGGCGGGCGTTGACATGTCAAGGTCACACACACCATCAGAAATAGCTTTTTTCTATCGTATTGACGTCAAAGCAAGCAAGTTTGGTCTTATATATGTAATTTCAAACCATATTAAAGGATTATTTTTAACGAAAAACTCAAAAACATTTTAAGGAAATAATATTGCGCCATTTGTATATGGTATATGGCCCCACTTCAAAATGCAGAATCTACCCCGAAGGTACTTTTTATAGTTTTTTAATACCCTTCACCACATTGTGGTACAGGGCATTATGTCTTTGTGCATATGTTTGTAACAGGCAAAAATAAGCGAGATAGACCCATGGTTCCTTTTGAGAATATGCATAGAATCACTTTCTGAGTCGATTTAAGCATGTCCGTCCGTCTGTCTTTCCATGTTAAATTGTAAACAAAGTACAGAAAGCATTTATGATCCGAATTGGATGAAATTTGGTACATCTCATTTGTTTGGCCCAAGGACGAACCCTATTGAAATTGGGAAAAAATCGGTTCAGATTTAGATATAGCTCCAATATATAGCTTAGCCCGATGTTAGGTAAATAGTCCACTAAAGTCCCTGGAAATCTTTTGATGTGCACGAAATTTGGCACAGAGTTATGAATAAGATCGAGAATGATGTCTGTCAAGTTTCGTGAAAATCGGTTCGGATTTAGATATTGCTCCCATATGTATTTTCATCCGATTTAAGGTAAATGGTGTACCAAAGACCCTATATATCTTTCAGAATTAAGTCTAGAATGATGTTGCTAAGCTTCGTGAAAAGATCCATAGCTATGCCGATTGACACAACGTACTGATGTTATATAAATTAGTCTATGGCAAGTTTCCCTGGAATCAGTTCAGATATAGATTTATAAGAAAACGCGTCGTCTGTTAGGATACATATGCAAAATATACCCAAAGTGGTGAAGGGTATCATATAGTCGGCCACGTCCGACTTTACTACTTTCCTTACTGGTTTTCATTTATTTCTATCAATCTTCTGAAAATATTATATATTTAATTATTTTTATAAGAATGCACATTGTAATTAACTACTTTTTAATAATACTGCCTTAAAAATTGAAATGCTTTATACGCGAAATACTTACGAAGTGGAAGGGAAGTATTATAAATAAGATTATTAGCTAGAGATATCAAACTTTGCGACAGTTATTTATTTTGATATTCGATACCTATGTATCAAATATCGAAAACGCAAACGCCGAATGTGCCCCGATGCCGAAGGTGCCCCAGTCTCCCCTACTATAAGAGAAAAAATCTTCTGACTACACAGTTCTCTGTGAAAACAAAATAACATATTAAGACATGTTTAAATACTTTTCACGTTAGCTAACGAAGTAGAGGGCATATGCTAGGAATATTTATAAAAATTAAAGAAAACAAACGACATCCACTATTACAATTTTATTTGTTATTTACTATTTACATATCACTATAAGATACACATTATTTTTTATATATCACTATATATAGTCGATAATCGATTGTTTATGTAAGTAGTTATCTCGTCAAGATTTCGCTGTGTCCATTGACGTTTTTGACTAACTTCATCGATTATTTGCTGTAGATATTTTTCGAAATTTTCAAATAGCTTAGGATGTGTGTTTATAAAATTACATAGTTTGGAGAGATCATCTGGGGCAAACACAAAACTGGCTACATGTGACAGCAAATGAGGCACATTGAAATTCTTTTGTAGTTCTGAATAATTTTCAATTAAATATTTTAAAGCTAATGATGTACCGGCTGGATTACTTGCAACCGATTGGAAGGCAATCTGGGCAAATACAGTTGGCATTTGAAGATTGTCATAAAAAATAATCTCTAAGAAATTCCACAATATTTCTCGATTTTGTGTGCAGCCCAAAGATTTGAGAATGAATATATCCTGTTGATGGGTGTTGTTGAAATATTCCCATAGGCAATTCCAATCATTTTCATTGCCATAACGTAGAGCTGTACAATATGTGGTGCCTTTCCAATCATCGGGAATTAGATTTTCAACGAGAGAATTTAGTTGAGACTTCCATTGTTGAAAATATGCAAGGCTGGTGTGGACACAGTCTTCCAAACCCATTCGGCAGGCGTATTCTATTAATAAAGTTTTGAGATCGTTAAGTTGTAAATCCTTTGTGGAGGTGATTGAGTCATTTTTTACTGCACTGACATAAGAATAAATCGGTTGCAACAAATAACGCATGTAGGCCATAATGGAACCACTGTGTTCCGGCAATTGAGTGAGTAGACTGAGATCTGGACCAATGGCATTTAATGCAATTAACCATGGCATTATTTCACGTTCCCTGCGCAGATATTCCATTACATCGAATGCCAATGAGTAACCATTGTAACCAAAACGGGCACAATAAATGACATCACTTAGAAGTTGAATACGATTAATTAGTGGAATTTTTTCAAAATTGTAATTTTTCAAAAAATTTGCAATATTTTGCCAATTCTCTATGTCATAGTTAACTCTATAAATTCCCATTATTTGGATATTGAAAATAAACCATTGATTTTGCGCGACTGTTAGATTATTCATTTGAATAGGGTGGCTGCTATTATCACATGTCATCCATGCTTTGGGTGTGGTATCATTGAAATTCAATTCCTCCGATGTGGTATATGTCAGGGGAATCCACCAACATTGTGCCGCTTCCGAATTTGAATGATCTGTGGGATTTTTCAAAAATCGTTGTTGAGAAATTTCAAAAGTCCCGCTATTATTATTATTTCTAAGTGATTATTTATACTCTTTCGAGTCGAGCTTGATGATCTAAATTTTGCAATGAAAAGGAAAGCCAGGAGAAGAACCTACGTACCCACCATTATGCGACGCGTTTCGCCGTTGGTTAAGCGGCTCATCAGGCATATTGGGCTATGTGGCTTTACAAAGGTCGTACGTTGATAACTTGTATTTATTCCGCCCTGATGCGAAACTTGCATATGCGAATTAAATTCAAATTTGTCAAAGTTCGACATTTGTCTTCATTCTAGGAACAGTCCTTTTCAAAGCAGATTTTTGTTGTAGCGACGGATAATTAATCCACACACCTACAATTGCTTCCTGGTATACACATGTTTTTGCGCAACCGTTTTTGGAAGTGTTGATGGCTCAGAACGTTAAGCGGTCTTGGCAACATCTGTGTTGCTCTGAGGACCTAGGTTCGAGCCCTAGCCGTGCTCGGCTGAAATTAATTTTTGTTATTTGAATTTTTGTGACCATTTGAAAAGTGATTTTAAGTGATTATTTATACTCTTTCGAGTCGAGCTTGATGATCTAAATTTTGCAATGAAAAGGAAAGCCAGGAGAAGAACCTACGTACCCACCATTATGCGACGCGTTTCGCCGTTGGTTAAGCGGCTCATCAGGCATATTGGGCTATGTGGCTTTACAAAGGTCGTACGTTGATAACTTGTATTTATTCCGCCCTGATGCGAAACTTGCATATGCGAATTAAATTCAAATTTTGAATTTGAATTTGAATTTAATTCGCATATGCAAGTTTCGCATCAGGGCGGAATAAATACAAGTTATCAACGTACGACCTTTGTAAAGCCACATAGCCCAATATGCCTGATGAGCCGCTTAACCAACGGCGAAACGCGTCGCATAATGGTGGGTACGTAGGTTCTTCTCCTGGCTTTCCTTTTCATTGCAAAATTTAGATCATCAAGCTCGACTCGAAAGAGTATAAATAATCACTTAAAATCACTTTTCAAATGGTCACAAAAATTCAAATAACAAAAATTAATTTCAGCCGAGCACGGCTAGGGCTCGAACCTAGGTCCTCAGAGCAACACAGATGTTGCCAAGACCGCTTAACGTTCTGAGCCATCAACACTTCCAAAAACGGTTGCGCAAAAACATGTGTATACCAGGAAGCAATTGTAGGTGTGTGGATTAATTATCCGTCGCTACAACAAAAATCTGCTTTGAAAAGGACTGTTCCTAGAATGAAGACAAATGTCGAACTTTGACAAATTTGAATTTAATTCGCATATGCAAGTTTCGCATCAGGGCGGAATAAATACAAGTTATCAACGTACGACCTTTGTAAAGCCACATAGCCCAATATGCCTGATGAGCCGCTTAACCAACGGCGAAACGCGTCGCATAATGGTGGGTACGTAGGTTCTTCTCCTGGCTTTCCTTTTCATTGCAAAATTTAGATCATCAAGCTCGACTCGAAAGAGTATAAATAATCACTTAAAATCACTTTTCAAATGGTCACAAAAATTCAAATAACAAAAATTATTATTTCTTTTAATAGTTATCAAAGGATATCCCGCTTGTAAGGTCCATGAATCCATATTTATTTTAAGTTCCTCTTCGGTTTGAAATAGATTGTACTTTCTTGCCGTTGAAGCTAAAGCCGCCCATAAATCATCTGTTTGAGTATTACCATACATATGCTTGGCTAAATAGCTTTGAAGACCTTCCAGAAATGCATCCGATCCCATAAACAAATGTAACATTCTGACAACAGCTGCAGATTTCTGATAAGTAATGCTATCGAAATGTTTTTCAATTTCCTCAGAAGTGTGAACCTCATTCGATATGGAGTGACTATTCGCTTCTGCATCATTTTGAAATGTAATTTTTGCATTAAGAATGTAACTTTCCAGCTGGTGGCCTTGGCCAGGCATAATGTAATCCATAGCTAAGCTCTGGAAATATGTTGCAAAGCCTTCCTTAAGCCAGGCATCATTCCACCATTTCATTGTAACCAAATTACCAAACCACTGGTGGGCCAACTCATGACCCATAACATTGATCAGGAGACGTTTTGACCACTCAAACAGGCTGTCCGATTCCAAAAGTAAAATTGATTCTTTGAATGTTATAAGACCCCAATTTTCCATAGCACTGCTGCTGTATTTGGGTATAGCAACCATATCGATTTTTTCAAGAGGGAATGGTATACCAAACAAACGTTCAAAATATGCCAATATCTTGGGAGCAATTTCCAATGCATAGATACTTTGTTCAATGTATTCTTCTCGAGCCCATGTCCGGAAAATTACATTCGACGAATCAGCTTTTAATTCTTTGTAAGCAAAATCAATAATGCTGTAGGAAACCAAGTAGGTAGACATCGGCGGCGACTCTTTAAATATACTCCACACATAACCATTCACACCATACAATGGTATTTGTGTTTCCAATGGCATGTTACTCAGAGCCTTCAAAGATTTGCGATGACCCAGCCATATTTTGAATTTAGCTTTATATTCCGGTTCATCCAGGCATGGAAAAGCCGAACGAGCATGTACTGGTTCAAAATCAGTGAAAGATATCCAACGGGTCTTTCGCGTCTTTGCATCCTTATATGCATTGTAAAAATATCCCCTTTGGGCTTTGTTAAGATTTCCCGCAAATTCCACAAATAATTCATATTCTCGATCCCGTACTAAACTTCCATCTAAGTGTATAACGTACAGATCTAATTCAGCTATAATTTCCACATGCTCGGCAAATAATGAAATCTCTTCATTGTCAACAAAACTTGTCACCTGTATACTGGCCTTATTCACTGCTAGATTTTTCACATGCAATGTAATATTTCGGGTATCCACCAATACCTTGAAGTGCATCGAGACATCACCATGAAACGATAAATTTGCTGCATTCTCCAAATGTGTTATAATCTTCAGTTCATAATAATCGGGTTTTATGGCCCTGGGTAAACGAGTGTTAAATGCCGCTACCCGATGCCAACCTCCGTGAATTAAAATAACCAAAATAATTAACAACAAATATTTCATTTCCATTACATTTGTCAACAATTTTTTTCTCTGTTCACTTAACAATGAAATACGAAATCTGCTCACGACTACTTTCTAACATTTAAATCACAAACTATTTCAATGAATTCATTTAGCAAAACATTGAAAGTCTATTTCTCCTTCAAGCTGCCTAATCAAAGAAATGTTGACCCAAAGTTCATTCGGTTCGCAATACACCGGCAAAACAAAGGTGATAAGAAATTCGTGTTTACCAGTTCGTAAAACAAAAATCCAGAAATGGCAAAAATAAAAATAATTATGAAAGTGAAATTTATTTTTAGACAACTAATTATATATTCTTAATACACAATAGAAAACTACAACTGTAAAAAAAAATTGAAGCATGCATAGTGAGAAAGTAGAACTGAAAATAGGTTTATATACCAAACTATTAATGAATATTGGTAGGTTTTTCGATGTTGAACCTTGAAGATAATTAGGACTTCATAGAAAAACTTGTAAAATTGAATAGATTTGCAATGATATTTGGATATAAAAACTTTACGATCCTTGTCATTTTTAAACCTTGCCAACAGGCAACAAAATGTAAATGGGGACACCCTATATATATATATATATATATTGACTCAAGTTTCAGTTAATGGCACCATTCATATTCGGTATTTTGGGCACGTTTTTCAATCAAATTGGTTGTAATTTTGTATTTGGGTTTTTATTGTATAGCACATCCTTATACTAAATATTGAAGTTTGAATGTAACCCCCATGTAACGGTATCCTTACATATCTGTACTAAAAATGATTTCGCTAACCAAAATGACCTATATTGATCCCCTTTTTGGTGAAGCTCCATCGCTAACCCCCTTTTAACTTGAATGAACATTAAGCTCTATTCTTTGTCCAAAACATAGCACGGACGTCAAGTTATAGGTTTCTTAATTGCAAATAAAATTAAAAAAAAAATCAAAATTGGGAACATTCCTTAACTGGACAATTTCGATTGTATATTCCATCAATTGCGAACACAAAATCTCCAAAATAAATAATTCTGACAATTCCATTGCAAAATGTTCTAAAACATATAGACCTCCTCTATGCGAATTTATTTAAATTATTTATAATGTCATTAGCCCATTGTGCCCCGATTTTTTCGGTAATCATAGAACAATTTTATGTTCACAGATTTAATGCAGGATATGAACAAAATTTGACATCGCATTTGGGAGATACAGTACATTCTTCCAGAAAATGAAAAGTGCAATATGAAGAAAACCAAATGCTAAATCGACCGAAAAATTTGAATGATTCTCTATATTCTTTTTTACAAGAATCAAAAATAATTCTGATGACAGAATTCGTATAGTTCGAATACAAAGCGATATAAATAATTTGGATTGTATACACAAATTAGTACTGTACACAAATTTACCCTCTTCTCTATATTGAAAAGCTCATAACTTTACCAAAATTTTGAATATTTTTGAATTTTCTTTTGATTTGTGTCGTCCATAATCAGGTCTTCACATATGAAATCCAAATAATACATATCTACTAGCTGCATATTAAATATAAGCTCTAAACCATTTTGTTGCTTGTAGGCAACATTGGACCACAAAGGGTTAAATATTTTGGACTGTATACACAAATTAGTACTGTACACATTTTGACCTCTTCTCTATATTGAAAAGTTCGTAACTGTACCAAAAATTTGAATTTTTAACATTCTTCTTTTGATATGTGTTGTCCATAATCAGGTCTAGGCGTATGAAAGCCAAAGAATATATATCGACTAGCTACATATTAAATACAAGCTCTAAAGCTCTGATTAGAATGGAATTGAAAATTATTAGTAATACTAGCTGGCCCGGCAGACGTTGTTTTGCCTTATCAACATTGCATCAATATAGTAAGGAAAAATATGGTATATATTATGGAAGTTAGATTATCGATATTTTTGTTGTAAATGCAAATACCAATTTTATATGTTAACTATAAATCGCGATTTAAGAAATGTTCACATTATGACCAATTTGATTTGTAATTAGTTGGAAACATTTGAATAATTGCTGTTATAAGATACATAGGTCCACATTTTTGTGTAGCCCCGTGCTGTCACGTACACTTCAAGTTGTCGGCAAAAAACATTGTCTACAAAATAATAAATGTTTTTACATAAATTGAAATAAGATTTGATTTGGATTCTGTATAATCTATATATACAAAAATGGAGCAAAAAAAAATATATACTATCGCATCAATTGAGAACGGCTGGACCGATTTGCCTCAAAATTTCTTTCAGTTGTCGGTAATTACAGTGGGAAGGTTCTTATGCAAGAAAATTTTGAGAAAAATCCGCGAAAATCTTGCAAACATTATTTTAAAAAACGGCTGGACAGATTTGACTTAAAGTTACTGATAGTAGTCTGTAATTGAAGTGGAAAGGTTTCAATGAAAGGACATTTTGAGAAAAATCCGCGAAAATGTTGCAAAATATATTTTGAAAGATATTAGCATTTCCACACATTTTATATCGAACCTTTATGGTTTCATCTCTTCGTAGTTCTTTTTGGAAATATTTTGGGCGAAAATGGGCTGCGTATTTCTTTAATGGCTATCATTATTTGCTCACGTTTTCCATAAAATCAAGATTTATTTAGTTTGAAAATATAAGTTTTGTTATGTGAAATAATTTGCATGGTATGTTTAGGTTGTAAGACATGGTAAAGTAAAAATTAAGCGGTTGCATTATGTGGGGCCTATACCAAAAACTATACCGGCAATTATGAAGGAAGTTTCTTACCCTATGGGGAATACCGAATTAAAGGCAATTAAATTAAAAACGAAAACTTCTATCAAAGTATTCAATAAGTTCAATGGTGTTAGTAATTCGCTATATACGATTACAAATACGTCAACAAAATACGAAGGTATTATTGAGCATTTTCTTATAATCGGGAAGAATACATTTAAATTCGAATCCTGCATGGAGGCAATTCCGCATTATATGCTGTTTGTGTCTAACTTAAATGTGCCTTTATGGTTCCTCAAATGTATTTTTAAGGATGTGAATATTGTTTGCAATATTCGGCTGTTTGTAATTGCATTGAGAAGGTTTTTACGAGGAAAATGTTGAGAAAAACATCAAAAATCGGGAAATTGGAATAATCGAACGTTGTGTTATCGTGTGTATCGTTTATAACTCAAGAACGTCTACACCGACTTTGAAGATTCAAAGGACTTATAAATCGGAATAGGAAAATATGCAAAGTAATTGTAAGATTCCGCCAAAACAAATATATTAAGTAATATTTAAAATTCCCCAATTTTTGTATCGAGCTTCAATGTTTAAATACATTTTTGTTTTTTAAGACATATGGTTTTTTGAGCTAATTAAATGAAAACTTCTAATTTCATAAAATATGTGTATGTTCGAATATTAATAATGCGATTATTAACAGCGACGAAAATAATGGCAATGATAGCATTATTAGTATCCCTTTCAGATATTTGAAGTTTTGTCTTATTTTCTATAGAGCCCAAGCTGTTGGATATGAAATCTCATTTTCATATTTGTCAAAAAAGTGTATTACTTTTTCGACAATGTTTTTTTTTTCTTTTTGCCGGCAACTTGAAATTTCGATGTGGACCTATGTAATCTTAAACAACAACTTATTCAAATGTTAAATTAAAATCAAGTTGTTAAAAAATGTGAGGATATAACAAATCCGATTACAACATTTTACGATGTAGAGTTGATTTAAAGAAGGTATACGGCGTCAACATTGGCCAAACTTTAGAATATATAGCAAACATATACAAATCTATAACGGCAATCTGAAAACTCATTAAAGATTAGTTTCAAAATGAAAAATACCTATAACTTAGCGGAAACCACAAAATTTCTATGCCAAATCTACAATTTTTCGAGTTATATACTGATTTCAATATAAAAATCAAAAGGACAGTTGGACATGAACAAAATGGCATTGTAATTAAGAAACCTTCAAGAAGGGACAAATGAGATAATGTAAAAACGTTTGAGCAATATTATTCATAAAAACTTTCCCACTGCAATTACCGACAATTGACACCCATTTTGAGTGAAATCGGTCCAGCCGTTCTTAATTGATGAATAAGTATACCTTTTTTGTACTCCATTTTTATATATCGTCAGCTAAAATGCAAAAAGGCGTAACTAACAAAAAAAATTTAAATTGACTTTTTGAATGAGTATTGTGAATGTCAATAAACTACATGTGTTGACCAAGTTTTACACGTCTGTGGTCAAAAAGGAGCTTCTATTAACAAAAACAAATAGACGTAACTACAAGTGGGTTTATTTGATAAATGCAAAAAGGCGTAACTAAAAAATCTAATTTTTACTTAATTGTTATGACTGCCATTAAATAAAATAAATAAATTTGTTAAAAAAATTATAGTCTATTATTCGTCATATGCAATATCACCCTGCCGGGCATACTTTTTCATTTCACATGACATGTTTATAGTTTTCATTCAAAACAGTTTTTTGCTTCTCCTACACAATTATGCTTTTGTTAGTTACGCCTTTTTGCATTTTAGCTAACGATATATAGATTATGATGATAATCATATAAAATATAAATTAAATGGAGTTCCAGAACCTAGTGCCAAGCACTGCCTTAGGATATTTTAATGGTTATAGCACCAATCGACACCTTAATATGTTCCCTGTCCAGAATTTTGCGATCTCCTCCGACCGTTAATAAACTTAAGAGTTATAATATGAAAATGATTGTTGAAAAATACATGTGCAAATTTAATAAACAAAATTTAAATTGAATTTTACTAATAAATTTTTTATAATAAAATTGTAAGATATTTGCCTTACCTTCCAACAAAATGGTTGTAATTTAGAATTTGGTTTAATATTTGGTATCAAATCGTCCTACCAAATATGATACATTTTGGTCCACTTTTTAGAGTAGCCCCCATAAAACAATAAGTTCCGGGGTAGGCCAAATAATGGGTGTTCGTTAAGATAGGAACACCCATTATTTGGTATTTTTGAAATTTTGAACCCGTTTTCAAACAAATCAACTATTGCTACTTTGATATTTAAAAATGCTGATATTAAATATTTACAATACTAATTACATACCAAATTAAACCTACAATATGATGCATTGGATTTTGAAAAATATATTCAGATATAAATATAACCGTTCTATATTTTCTTCTGAGTTTATGCAAATTGAGCACCAAATAATAGATTATCCTATCGAGATAACATAGCTGCCATACATAATTTTGCTCGATTTCATAAAAATGGTATCCTAAGTTGATTGATATACAATTATTAACAGATTTTAGAATGGTATGTGTATGGGTTGTTTAAAATTAGTTGAATATCTATGTAGATCACAAATTTAATTTCGTCCGATACCTTTTCAATGGTCCTCCAAAGATATGTTCTAACTACAGGATATTTTACATATGATATATACATTAGTTGTGTTTGAAATGATTGTTGAAATGCAAAGAATAGTTTAACGAAAAGAAAAAACGATCACTGAATTCTTCCTGTGCCCTTACAACCAAAAAATTAAAAATTTACAATGGCACTATGAAAACATGCTCACTCATCTACATTTTGTCGACAATTGAAAAAGCTATCCGATGTTGTTTACGCTGCTAGAGAACAAGATTGCTATGCGAGTCGGAAAAAATTTAAACCGATATTTTATGAGAGCTGTTCAAAGGTGCCCCCTCTCCCCTATAGACAGTGGTGGTCAAAACATATACCAATGAAATTGACTATGTAGTAATCTCTTTATTTGAATTAAATAAAGGACAACTTGGTATTTTTTCGCGTTTTAGGTTTTATTGAAACTGTAAATATAATTTTACCCATATTAACTGGGCCAAAACATATGCAACTCTGACGAATTTAAAATATACAGTTATTATAAGTATTATAGTTTATATTTTTATTGAGTGTTCACTTTGTCATCAAGTGAATCAGTTGAAAATTATCGTGGATTTCCTCCTCGATGGGTCATAGAAACAGTTGGGGACATTATATTCTTCAGACATCTCTTATAGTAATATTCTAATCGAATAATCTCTAATAATCCGTGGTACTAATTGCCCACATGTACTAATTGCCCAATATGTTTGTTAAATATTTACTAAAAATACTTCTCAACACTCAAGAATAAATATAAAATGCGCAAAAATATAAAATATTATGAGACAAGCTACCTATAATAATGGTTGAAGAAACTCGACGTTGAGTGCCAATAATGCCGGCCTCACGTTGGGCGTCCATAAAGCACCTCGTGAGCGGAGCTTGTGTGGCTTCAACCGAAACAACACGATTTAAAATAATGTTTGCTACTCCTTGTTTAGGAACTACTTCCACCTTATGATCTAGTCCATCAACTTGGGCAAGCGTGGGTAATGATCTTAAGCCTTCAGTGTTCGCTTAAACGAATTAGAGTCGGGGGGCCCGGACTCGGGGTAAAGCGATTTTATTGCAATTTGGGTTTGCATAACTACTACATTTGAGAAGCGAGATTCTAATCTAGGATTGGTTGTATAACAATTTAGTAATATCAGAGATGTAGGTTTTGGTACTGTTTACAGACTATTTACATTAGTAGCCGTTAATTTCAAATATTTAAATAAGTGTTGCATTTTAGTACTCAAATGTTCAATAAAACGTATGTGTTTATACTATAGTAATTAAAATTAAATAAAAATAGAGTTGATCCGCTTCATGCTATCTTTTAATTTCGCAAAAATTGCATTTGTTTTGGTTTTCTCTTATATATACCCAAATTGGTGAATTTTCCGTATTTATATAAGTTAAAATCTCTGATATTTTTAAATATTGATGTTTTTACACAAATTTATTTTCAATTTTTATGATCCATATTTACATAAAGCGCGCATGGGTCTATTACAAAAATAAACAAACATTCAAATTATAGATTTTAGCTTGCCAAAACAGTGTGAGTATATAGGAATTAATGTATATACGTCAACTACAAATACATCTGTTTTGTTTGCTTGTTAATTCTTATCATTTAAAATATGTTCATACGTCTCTCACATATTTCTATATATTAAAGCTTATCTCATTGACAGAGTGATCATTTCCTCGTGCACATAGTTATACCCTACACAACTATGTTGTCAGGGTATTATAGCTTTGTGCAGCCCCAAGAGTTTGTAACGCCGCCAAATATTGGTCCTAGACCCACCTTTAAGTATACCGATCGTCATATCTCAACTAGCTGAGTCGATCTAGACATGTGTGTCCGTCCGTCCGTCTGTCTGTCCATTATATTTTGTAAACACGATACAGGCCACAGTTATGGACCAATCTTCATGAAATTTTGCATGTAGGATGGGTTCTGGCCAATGAAGAGCCCTATTGTATTTTGGTAAAGATCGGTTAATATCTAGGGGATGAAATGGACCAAATACTTAATTTTGATCGGTTTTTCTGGTCGCTCTAAAGGCCGCAATTATGACCCAAACATAGCGAATTTTTACATAGGGAAGGGGATCGGGCCAAAGAATAAGCATGCCTGTTTTGATAAGGATCGGTCAATATTTAGCGTGTCAAATGGACTCTGACTTTTGTGTGAAAAATTACAAAATTTGTATTCTACAGCGTTTAGTTTTACCCCTGAAGGACATAGACCCGAAAATTCTTGGTATATCCAAGGGCAGTGGTTGACCTTTAAATTGATACCAATTATATGGTCGTATGTACTCAGATGTGAGAGTTACACTTGAATATTTACAGGTGCTTATGTATTCAGATATTATTTAGTAACCCTTTACCACATTAGAGGGCGGAAATATATCGCTTTAAAATGTTCCATGAAGTTCCAGTTATGGTCAAGGATAACACCTAAAATTTTCGTTGACGATCAGATAATTATATTGTGATGAAGTGGACCGAAAACATAATTTTTTGTGTTTTTTCGAGTTGATCTATAGGCTCCAATGGGAATAAGAAGATCACAACACAAGGTAAGGGAATCTGGACAAGTAATTAGAAGAGCTGTACTGAACATTACTAATAATTGTCTTCCTCTAGTTGGTCCAGATATTTCAAATATCGCGAAATATTGCCCAAGCTCAGAATATAGATCAACAGAAAGTTGGTTTTTCGTGGAAGTTGTGTAGGGTATCATATGGTCGGCCCCGTCCTACTATACTGCTCCGCTCACTGGTTACTTACTATGTCGCGTTTATTATTTTAGTGTAGTGTGAAATGCTACACCACATTCACTGTGATCAGTGTTGCCAATTTAGCACTTTTAGTGCTAGATTTAGCACTTTTTGAACTCGTTTAGCACCAAAAAAATTGATCTAGCAACTAGCACTTTTTTTAGAATTTTTTAATTTCTTAGGATTTTTTTTACAAAATTTTGGTTTCAATCCAAAAAATCCCGTTTTTCGATTTAATATTGACGCATTAAATTTTTGCTATGTTTTACGCGATGAATTTAATTTTCCAATGCTATCCAGCATGTGCCGTGCATTCCAAATTTCTTAAAAAAATGGTCGGGTACTTCATGGGGTGACTATGACATTGTCTGTTGGTAGATTGTTTGTTTGGGAAAATGAAAAACCAAATTAAGTTGTACATTTTATGAGAACGATGTAATAATAATGAACATGAATTATATTGGAACTTTCTGAAAACTAGTTTTTTATTCAGCGGGAATCCCGAATGCCAAGTTATAACCACTTTAGATTACTGAAAAGGCGAGCGTACCCCTTTATATTGGGATTGTGCCAGAATAAAGACCAAAATAGAAAAATTCCGGCAAACATATTTTTTATATTAAAGTCGCTGTTGGGAATGAGATTATAAAACCTTAAAAGTGCGCAAATGGGACGAAAATTGATAATTGTCTTCATATTTGTACGCAATGTGAAATTACAGCTATTTTCCTTAACCAAATTTGGACATTATTAGTATTTATATTTTATTTCAATTCGGCTGCGTGTCCGCCGTTCCCAAAATGTCGAATAATGGGGAGGGTACCGCTCTCTGGGGGCTACACTTAATATTGATCCATATTAATAATTTTTGATAAGGAGATTTTTACTCAACAAAATTTAAATAATCAAATTAAAACCAATGCAATTGATGAGGGCTACCCTTAAGAGTGGACCAATATTGATAAGTTCTAGTAAGAAGACTATATATCCAGGTAGGACACAATATACAAATATACAGCAATTTAGGTTGAAAAATGTACCTAAAAGCTTAAAAAACAAATATTGGGGTATGGTGTACCCAAAAACGACCGATATATTCCATTTCCAATATCAAATCTCATAGGGGTAGTACCAACGTATGTGCAAAATTCCAAAGCTCTGTCTTAAATATTGCGACCTCAATCGGACGGACATGGTTAAATCGACAACAAATAACCGTTAAGAATAAATGGGACAACAAATAACCGTTAAGAATAAATGGGGTTTCTGATTAATATTTCATTATTAAATATTAACAATTTTGTTCTAGAAATTTTCAGCATTTTTTCTGGCACTTTTTTAAATTTTTTAGCATTTTCTAGCATTTTTTTCAACAAAATCTAGCATTTTTCCTCAACAAAGTTTTGTCTGGACAATAGCTGTACTGAATACTCGAAATATTCGGAAAATATGTCACTGTGAAGTGCTGTTTACCTCTAATCGGGCAAGAGGGGGAAAATATCACGAAATATTGCCCAGGCTCGGAATAAACATCCGCAAAATATTTGAGCTCCGTGGTAGTTGTGTATGTATGTACTGCTCCGTCACTGGTTTTTCATATTTTGTCTTCACTTCAAATACTATTTTCAATGAACTTATTTTCCCAAACGTGCCATTTTTTTATATATGACCAATCTCTAATATTCGATATTAGGCATTGACATTTTTTCTATAAGAATAATATTGTTTTTGGTATTTTTTTATTCAAATAAAATTTTTCACAAACTGACAAAAATGAAAAAATTATAATGTCAATTATTTCTTTCTATTTGCATTTCAATACACATACATATGTATGTATGTACATATTTTGTATTTTATGTATTTTAAAATATATCCTCAACATTCCAAAATCTTCGGATGATGCGCAATTGCAGCCATCTTTCTGAAACAAATTTGAAAGTAGCTACATGCTACTAACATACATACAAACATATGTATATTTTTACGCCGCATCCACGCGAAGTTTTAGAAGTTTATCTAACCTATGTTACTTCCATCGCTTGACGTACTCTTGGTAAAACTTGTTCAGTGGTTCTTAAGTCCACAAACAATATGCTTTCGATTTTCTATATACATATGTATAGATAGGAATGCAATGAGGAGTGCATTTTCCTGTTAAATGGATTATGCGTACTTACGCCCACGTTACTCAGACATATTTTAAAGTCGGTATCTGTAACCTTTCTTAGGATATACAGAAATTACATGTTCATAATTTCTGAGGCATGAGTACGTTCGATGCTATAACTCCGCGTACACGCCGAATCTTAGAGGTTTATATAACCTATGTTATTCCAGGACATGCCATGACATTCTGTGAAAGTCTCAGTAAAATTTGTCCAGCGATTTTTGAGACTACAAACGAAATGTTTTCTGTTTTCAATATGCAGATTTTGAAAATGCAGCAGCAAATGTACTTTCCGTTGATCATATCAAGCTCGTTTTTGTGTGGATGGTGTGTATTGACACCTACGTTATTCACACAAATTTTGAAGCCGGTATCTGTAACCGTTCTTAAGATATACGCATATTACATGTTCCGAAATTTTGAGGTTTGTTTACTATTGACGCTGTAACTCTGCATCCACGCGGAATTTTAGAAGTTTAGCTAGCCTATGTTACTTTCAGGGCATGCCCCGACATACAGTGTAAATATCATTAACATCTGTTCAGCGGTTTTGGCGTCTATCGGGAACATACACACAAACAAACAAATTTTTTTCTATTTTATATATATAGATTCTTTAAACTTCATTATAACTCTAACAATATTTAAACTTTCGTGTATTTTTCAATTTCACCCTGAAACAAAGTAATTATATTTGTTTCACCTTTCTCTAATTGGTCACTCTTCAAAGAAAAAGATTGGTGTGACACTTTTTTCTTATGTCTACCGCTAATAATTTAAGCTCATTACCTAATAACAATATTTGCATTATAAAACACCCTTTTAGCCATCATAATTAATCTTCTAGATGAAAATTTGGTCATAATGAAAAAAATTGGGAATGATAAAGTAAAAGAAAACCTTAAAACTTC